AACCCCATTTTCAAGGGACCACATCACAAAAAATGGAAAAAAAATCTAAAAAATATTTCGTCTCAGGATTTTGATGCAGAATGGTGGCAAATTGATCTATAAATCGTTTAAGGAACTCCGCTTGAAAATCGGAATGAGAATCGGATTGGGGAAGATATAGCCATTACGGTGGACCCTATAGGGCAAAACACCATTTTCAGGGATCCCATCACGAAAAATGGACAAAAAATCTTACAAATATTTTGTCTCAGGCTTTTGATGCACAATGGTGGGGAATCGATCCAGAAATCGTTTAAGGTACTCTGCTTGAGAATCGGATGAGAATTGGAATTGGAAGATATGGCCATCATTGTGGCCATCATACCAACTTTGAAACTTTTGAAGAAAGAAGCTTTGGACTTTTGTTTAGTTTTTTTATTGTAATCAATTGGTTGTATTATGATATTCTCATAAGGATCGGCCAACGATATCCTTATGCGATATATCCGATATCCGATAATAACTGTAAGGGTATATCAACTTTCTATCTTGACAATCATAAACTTTTATTTTCCCATGGCAAACGCATCACATGCCCAAAGTCACGCTTAGAAATATTTAAAGATTTAAATGCAAATCGATTTGATTTGAACCAAGATGAAATTAAAGCCTTTGACACACCATTTCGCATCAAATATTTAACTAGAATCGACCACAAGTCACCCGGCTATCTTTTAGCCCTTTTTCTGCGATATATCAACGACAGCCACTATTTTGGGGGTCTGAAAGTGGGAGTGGGCCAAACTAAACAAAAACCAATGCGGGTAACGTTGAGGCGCGACCCTTCAGCAGCGTTAACATCAATTACTTTGAGAGTTTTTTAGCCGATGGGTGGATGGGCGAAAAAGTCAGGGGAGGTGGCCAAAAGAAGGGCCAGGCTATTGGAGAGCAGTTGGAATGCTGTTTTGCCTTTTCAGCGGTCGTCAGCGCAACGCTTTTCAATTTAACAAATACGAATTCGAGTACCAGCTTCAAAAAAATGTAAATAGAAAACCCACAAAATACGAAAGGACTGACCGAAATATACCCTAAGAATATTATACAATTTTTAACTAAAATGAACACATATAAAAATCCTTAAAATCTACATGATATTATTTCCAAATTTGGCAAGCGTCGTACTCTTAATTTTTCAAAAGTATACTTTATAAAATTTGTATTCTAGGTAACCATGTCCCGAAATACATTAATATTATCCATAAAAAATAAGGTATAGACCTAAAATATTCGATTGATGGGTATTTCGTGTATCCAAAAAGTAGGAAGATCGAACGAGGCCGGGTAAACAAGCTCCCGCCATGTGAGACGGGAAAATGGAAGGGCGAAAACCTGCGGTTGCGTGGTTTTTCTCCCCACGGAGTTTTAGAGAATTTCTCGTATTTTGCGTATTTTCATTTTTTTTTGTTCACGCCACGTTGCCGCGTCAAAAGGATTCGGCCAAGCATATAAATTAAATGATGGTCGAGCGTTGAGCGATTGAAATTAGGCGGCCGACGGACCGATGAATGTAAAAGTTGCGCGAATCAAATTTAAAAAGTTTGTATATATATTTTGGCGGTTTGAAACAGGTCATTGCTTTCGAGAATAATTTACAGTGGCCTCTACCGTTGCTGGAAAGCCATATTCGGTACACTCCAATTTCTGTACCACATTTTCGACCACATAAATTAAATTCTATGAAAGAGAACTGCCGTAGAACCATCTTAGATATCGCCAGGTTCATTTATCATCTGGGGAAATGCAGTTGGAAGCCATTAGAAGAAAGTGCACTCGGTTCCGGACTTATGGCAGCCATGGGCCATGTGTCAATGCTCAATGGACTACCGCACAAAGGCGGCAAAGGACATGGTAAAGAGTGGAAAATATCGAAACGAATGAAATATGCCGGAAGGATGCGGTGTGGAAGACAGCCACAATGATGATTATGTGGCAAGGGAACAATACATTCCAGTAATCATAGACTGAATAATAGATGTTTTCCGTCATGGGAATATTTATGAGTTGGTTTAAAATATAATGTTACTAAGCCACTGAGTGTTCCATCTTAATATTTTTTATAAATCTCTTATTTAGCTCAGAAGAACATTAATTCTTACACACAGAATCAAAGTTATGGGCTGCTGGAATCAAGCCAATAAAGTTCCTAATTGTTGGCCATCAACAAGTTAGCACTCAATGACTCGTAAAGATGTCCCCCGAGACCCATTGGCCAGTTTACATTCATTAGGAACATTAAGAAATAATTTGCTGAAACTTTGTTATAAGTACATATATAGGTTGAGACGGAGTAGCAGTAATAATGAAAATAACTGCAATCATGTTGCCAAATTTGTGCTTTGACCCTTAAATCAACTGAATTTCAGAGGTGCTGAAAGCCAAAAGCTGGTGACCCAGGCACGTGCAACCCAACGACGAGGAAGGGGAAATATGAAAATTGCTCATACGCCGTGTTGACCCGGCTAACGTGCCAGGTGCTGTGTCAATCTTTGGTATGTTAGTATTCCAGCAGCCAAAAACCAGCAGTCTTCAACCAGCCGACAGCCGCGGTCAAGTGTCAACAGCATCTGAAAAGTTTGTGACCCGTACTTTGGCATTTTCAAAATTGGAGTTGAGGTTAAAACTACCTTATGACCTTAAGGTTTCATATGCCTTAACCAAAAATGATTTAATCTTTGAAAATGTAATTTATAAGCCTTGCCTTGCTTATGTAGAATATTAAGCGAAAGCATTTCTTTCGATATTAAAAAGACGATGTTTTCTTTACAACTTTTACAGCTTACATCCCTCTTAGTCTTTTTTCTGTTAGCCCTATAAAAAACACACACAAACAGCAACCAAACCAAACCAAACCCATGCTAACGGAAATTGCTGAACAATACCAGGAAATGTTACACACACACTCAATTACGTGCCGTTACACGCCCACATTCACAGGCCAGACATTACGTATACGCAGCGTATACTCGAGTTGAGTTGACTTGCGGCATGTTGACAACACTTTGCAATTGGGTTAATTGTACTTCGACGCGCTTTTCGCCGAGAAGCGTAAAGTGAGTAAGCCAACTGCCTTTTAATGTGGGTCAATGCATCGAGTGGTCTTAGAGCCGTACAAGTGTATGTTACTCTTGACTTGGTTAAGATTTTTTGTAATTTATAGAAAGAAGACGTAGTAGTACATCAAACTTGTAATTTGATTCTTAAAGTTTCCCTTTGAACGAACCACATCTGTTTGGGCCAATTTTCCTTTAGGGGACATATTACGCCAATGAATCCACTCAGTCGTGTAGAGATTTCTCCAGTTCATCAGGCAAGTAGTTGCTACTATTTTCCCGCACGTGGTGGTTGTTCTGGGTTAGCTCAAGTGCCATAAATATGTAAATCTATTACGTGATTTCTTTCACAGATTTGGGGATCGTAAAATAAGGTAAAGTAAGACCGGTCTTTCAAGGAAAATACTCAAGAAGTTAGCATTATAAATGCGGTTTCGTTGGGTGTCTATGATTGGATTAATTGGTTAAAAACTTGTACAGGTATTGAGGCCCTGAAATATTAAAATAAAAAACGATGTAATGTCAGCCAGCTACTCCATTTATTAAACAATTATGTGGCATTAAACATTAACTTTACCCGTTAAAAGCTGATTATGTTCAGCAATTAAATGTTAATTAACATGTTTTACTTGACTTGGACTTTTTGTTTGCTTTGCCAGCGAAACGATAATAATAAATTAAAATTCATTTAATAATGTTGCAAATTTGCATAGTTAATGCATTCGTGGCATCACCTCCCTGGATTCACTGGGCGTGGCCATATCCTACTCCACACCCACCCTTTTCATTTTCCAAGTGTGCCTCATAAAGCAACGGAAGTAATTTAAAAACCATTTAAATCGCCGATTTTGCAGAAACTTAATGGTAAGGGCTGGTCGAGACGAAAGGTTTAATTCAACTAAAGGGTGATTTTGTGGAGAGGTCTTGCTGCCGAGGCATATGCCGCTTGTAATTTGCATCCAACGCGTGCATGTAATTTAAAATGAATTAATGAACCGAACAAATTTGCAAAAGGAACAAGCCAGCGTAAAATAATGGCCAGAACGAGCAAGAAAGGCGAGTGCAAGTGGCGGGGGCGAGGCAGTGAGGAAACGTTTATATTTGACACATAAATTACAGGAAGGAAGTTGCATTCAACGGTCCAAGGAGGTGCCGAAAGCCAAATTTTATGTAGGGTCTTTTAATTAATTTTTGATGATTTAATAAGCATTTAAAGTTTTCGAATGGAAGGAAATATATTTATTTTATTTTAAGACCCATTAAATGTTCCAAATTTTTATTTTTGACATTAAAAACGAAAGAGTTTTGGGTTCTAATTGAGCAAAATTATGCGTGCTCCAAAAAACTTCTATAATTTATATTTTACCATTCAGTTTGCACAACTGCTGTCGAAAATAGACCGTAAACGATGTTAAGTATTTCCTTCAGATACCATTAGGCGGTCGGGTCCCATAATTGTCGGTCGGTTCACTCCTCTGGCGCGGCAGCTGACCAACATTAAAAGTTTTTACTGTCCAGCTCTAATGGCTCTAAAAAAAAGATGAGCGTCCTGAAAGAGGGACCTCGGATGCGGGGCAGCCGGCTTAGGCAAGCCGACATTTATGACAGCAGTTTCATGCTCATATGAACAATCCTTGCCAGATCTGGGTACATTTATTTTTAGACTTTTAAATTTTATGGCCTGGCATAAAATTGACGCCAAATGGCTGGGGCAGCAGGAAGAAGGATGCAGAGAAATATTAATTTGCTGGTGTGGGACTCGGGGTGGCGTATCCTTCTGGCTCAGCTCCTTTGCCACATCAATTTAATGGGCTCCAGCTAATTTGCTTTTTATTAAGAGATGCCCGAGCATTCGCCATCCAGACAGACTCAACAGCTGCAGGTCCTGTCACGCCCCTCTAGCCTCTTGCCATGCTCCTGGGATGCCGTGAGAAGGTGGGCGTGGCCGGGGTGGAGCAGCAGCAGATTGCATGTCCGTACTGCGCTCGGTGTCCTGCGGTGAAGATCCTTGCTACCTCGCCTGCCGTAGACAAACAGCAGGCACAGCATTTACAGTTCACGGTTTATTGTGCTGTAAATAATGTAAATAAACACAGGCCTCCAAAAGGATAATAGTAAAGGACTTTTCAAGATACCCTGGAAATGGTGCCACCTAGGGAAATATAAAAGACTTCGATTTCATTAAACTCAATGGACTATTGTAATACTAATATAAACTGTACTAAATATAAATAATAACCTTAAAACTTAATTTAAGAAACCTTTTTATTTGCAGAGTATCAGTGGCCTCCACTATGAAAGAATGAACTGAAAAATAAAATAAAACCGACAGCAGCAGAGGCAGCAATTCAATCCGAGTCAGTCAACAGCATTCCTCGGCTTTACCCATGCCTCTTCTGGTGTCCTTATACCATCATCCTGCATCCTTTTTTAACGCAGCATCCGCTCCTGCAGCCGTTTCCGCGTTCTGCAGTTAAAACATTTAAAACGTGTATAAATCGGGGGAATTTATGGAAGGAGCCAAAGCCAAAGTGGCTTTAAAAATTAACAACATTAATAAACTGGGTAAGCTGTTTTAAAAGGAATAATAAATATAGGCAAACAAAATGACCGCAATGGTTAATTAATTACATTAGTGGGATAAAAAAAAAAGAAACTTTCCTGAAAGGATTGCAAGTGATTGATCACCAATGCTGATTGAGTGGAAAACGGAAATCTGACAAAAGGGAAAGTTCCAGATGGTGCGAGTTATTTGGAATATTGGACTAAAGATCCTTGAGTCAGTATAATAATCTTATAATACATTATTATTGTTATCAGGGTTCTATAATTTTTTACCTTCTTTAAATCACATGTATTTTCTTGTGTTCATGAAGAGGAAGTAAAGCACGGCCATTGTTGATTTTATTTTCCGCAGTGGTATCCTTGAAGCCGTTAATGTTTAAACAGTTGGCCTGGAGCGATGAAGAGATAACGGTAACAACCGCAGGATTCGCGGCTCGGTTGCAGCAGCCAGCTTAAAGAGCGTCCTTACAACTTTTTGCGAATGTTTATCTGAATTAAATTAACGCAGAGAAACTTTACATAAAAGTACAGGATCCAGTTGCAAAAAAAAAATAATGAAGATTAATAAAGAAAAAATAATGAGATTTCGGGAAACATTTTCGGATTTTCTGAACCATGAAAAGCATACGTTGAAACTCGTTAATAAAATAACATACAGAAATGGCAAAAAGCAAGGCAACTCCCTCCCATCCCCTTGGAAACAGACACTAACAAAGACGTTGCCAAATGGCTAATTATAATTGTTTGTTTGGAAAATAGAATGCATGGGAAATATTTTCAGAGTGTTGACGTCACTGGACGAGAAAAGCGAAAAATCGAAAAAAAATTGCATTGACACTTTCATAAATCGACGGCTGACTTATTACCAATAATTGATTTCAATTGTTATGCCCTGGCCAAGGTGCTTATTTATTTATTCTTCAACGCTCCCGCTCCCCAACAAAAATCACAACTTGTTTACAAACAAATGCGTAGTAGACATCAGAAGTCAGGGAAAACAATCACAAAAAGATGAACATGAAACGGTGGAAATAGCGGGCATTAAAAAACCATTAACATAAAAACTAATATTAAATAATATAAACAGACGGGCCAAGAAATAAACGCTATGGGGTGCCGACTCTAATGATATTATGGCAGGGCGCTGTATGCGCACATTTGGGAGGCACTGTACGCTAACAGAGCCAAGCAAACAGGTAAGCTGTTAGCCGAAACGACCTCCCACCGATAACAGTATTGGCTGGAATGTGTATTTTCGGAATCAGCTAACAGACACGAACGGCACTTCGGAGGAACAGCTGTTCGGGCGCTTTGCCTTTTGGCCACTCAATGGGCCATCTTCATCATCATCGTCGTGGTTGATGTTAGGCAGCGTATTTCTGAGCCGCTTCAGTCGTTGCCTGTCAACAGAACGCTGCGAACGTGGCCAGCTCCTCGAACCAAATCAAATAAGTGTCTGAAACAAACGCGAAATGGACTGAAGTACTTACCCCGAAAAGAAATCCATCTCCCAAGTGTTGCGTGGAAATTCAAACATTTTTCGAAAGCTCCTAAGCAAGCCACAACCAATAACCATGGGCTCTTAAATATTTAATAAGAACGAAAGAAATACCAAGAATTATCACATCAAACGAAAGTGTACTCCCTATCCCATAAAAAACCTCGAAAATCCTTCAAACTTCACCAAAAAACGCAATTTTGTCAAGGTAAATATTATTTCTGTCATATCATTCCGTAAATCTTCCTTAAAATGAACTCGCCTTCGGAACTGCTCCTGCTCAGTGCATAAACACAAATAACGGTTCCCCTAAGCCATAATACACGAATATATAAATAAAAAGAGTAAAAACAACAATAGAAATAAAACAAAAGTGTCAAATTTATGCGAAGCGGTAAAGGACGACAGCCGGAAATTTATATGGCTTATGAGTCGAGTCGAGTCGAGACGGAAGAGCTGAGTTGAGTTTAGCTGAAGGATGGAAACCTTTCCATCTGTCAGATCCTTTTACTATTTATTGTATGTGTGCGAGTGAGTGATGCTGTGTTTTAACCTCAAGGATTTTTTATTTGCCTCCACGGAATGCGCCGAAAAGCAGAGAATTGTTGAATTTGTTTTTATGTGGGTGTCAACTTGTTTGTTCTCGTAATTGTGTTGTAAACATATTTTGTATTCACATTTTGGCCCCTGTGCCAATGGGCCCTATAAATTTTGTGAATTGTCAGCCTTTTGATGGCCAAAAATAACTTTTTTGAATAATGGTAATAACCAGTTAGATAATAATTTTCCCACTTGGCTATTTCTGTTTTGTACGAGCAAGGGAAATCTTCAAAAACTTCAAAAATGTGTCAGTAATTGTCAGTTATACAAATAATGTACAAACAAGTAATGACTAACACAGAAAACTTAAATTTTTACGCCATTTCCAATTTATTAGCCAAAGCATACTTTTGAGAGCCTCTTAATATTTAAACGACACTTATTTATTCCTAAATATGTCTTTTTAATAAAAACTTCATTATTTTCATTAGGCCACTTAGCTTTCACATTGAAAAATATTTCCTTGATTACATAAAGCCCAGGCTTCCCAGTTAATTAATTCAATTTCAAGTGTCTGAGAATTTCCTTAATAAATTCCATTCATAAATTCAATCACAACTTTAATTATCCTACTCAAGCTAATCAAGCTAACTTTATTTGAGTTTAGCCCGAGCTGTAAGCTGAGAAAGAATTTATAAATTTAAGAACAAATTTTCCGCTGTCAGGGTGGCCGAAAAAATAAACGAAAAGCCCCAAAGCCAAGAATCCTACTCTTATGGAGGAAAAATGAATGGCGGAAGAATGGAGCGGCCAGGACGCTTATAAAATGTCATAAAAGTCTTTCATATGCAGTGCATTTCATAGCAATATGTGCTTCCTGAAATATTAAATTTTCCTCTTAAACTTAAGTTCTATTCAAGAAACTGGAGAAAGTTTGCTATAAACTTTTGTTCGTCACTGTACCGAGATGCATTATGTAGGTGGCTACCATATATACATATGTATGCATATTGGCAGGCTGGAGAAGCCTTATGTGCCAGAGAAATGGCTTGCCAAATTTGTCAAAAGGAGGGAAGGATGATGGAAATTTCTCCTTTCTACTGTCAAAATTCCTACTGTCGATAGTGCAACTGCAACTGCAGTGGCTGTCGTAGTGTAATGCAGCACTCTTGAGGGGCAGGTTGCCAAAATATTTCATTGCTAGTCATTGTCCCAGAAGATGGAAAGCTTCAAGTGTGTGGGGATTTTCTCTGTCTGAACAATGCAGCTGTGAGACAAGAACATAAAAAAGGAAACTAAATTAATAAAGATGAGGAGAACGCCTTCGGAGACCGCAAACTCAATGCAGATAATTAAATGTAATTACATAATGTGCTGGTAGTTGCGACCCTTCTGCTTCCATTACAGTGTCTGTGTGCTGGTCTGGGCTTGTGTGAGTAATTACGTGCTTATTGCCAACAGCAGAAACAATTACAGTTACAACAAACATGGTAGAAAACAAAGCCAGACAACCCGCAGCCACTATCTAAGCCATAAAAACATCGATAGTCGTGATTGAAATGCTCTAAAATATTTGAATGTTCTTCATTTTTTGAATAATATCACGTTTATTTTTTGAATGTGTAATTTAATTATTGATACAATTTTCCAATTCCCAAAAGTTAATAAATTTCCCTTTTAATTGTTTTGATTCCCAAATCTTTAACAATTAAATCCCTGTGCAAAAATAAGTTGATCAAAAGAGCCTCTGTGCATTTTGGTAAAAATATATATTCCACTGTTTATACATTCAAAGTAAAATCAAAAGAATACAGCTCAACGTCAATCGGAAAACGGAAATTCGTAAAAATACGAAAAGCAAATTGAGTTCATCAGAAACAGGAAAAAAGGAAAGTGTAATTAAATTGCATCCACAATTCGGCGAAATAATATAAATATATCTATGTATACTATGGCGTAATGTGCCTCTGTTATTTGATAAAAGCTTATGTCGATGACGCGGACGTTAGACGCTTGTGGGCCCCGCCTCCTTTGGGGGGGACCCGGCCCTTTTGGCTCCACGCGGCAGAGTCAATAAAATGTAATTAAATCGACATTCTTATCAGAAGCTCGCCAACAAAAACAGACACCGCACTATCACGATATCTGAGCATTAATTTTAATGAAATCTATTGACAAAATATTAGGAAAAACAGGTACCTCGTATTTCTAGTGAAAATAATATTTATTAATATTTTAAATATGAAAATAATTTTTATGATTTCTTAACAATTTAATAATCTTTTTTGAATCTGTGAGATGAACCACAGTTCTCAAATACCACTCACGTTCCAGGGTAAAAACAATATACCTATCTATGCAAATTTTCAATTGTGTTAATAGTCAAATTTTTGGCTCCTGTTCCACAATTATTTTTGTTTGGATAGTTGTTCTTATTGCTACTGTTAAACAATTGAAATAACAAATAACA